AAAAACCCAGGATAGAATTAGTTATTCCAAGATTCGAGATCGGTAACAAACTTACCATTAGACGTAATAGTAAGCATTTGTTTAAGATTCACCGATTCTTGTATTTCTTCAGGAAATAGGATAACAACCCATGTTATTGGGATTATCATCGAAGAAATTCTCTCCACAATGGTCAATTCCTGGTCCCTTGCATTTATACCAAGAGACCAGGTTTATATCAAGAGTCCACCTGTAAAGATAACTTCTGGTTCACAATCTCCGACATTAAACACCTCAGTGTTTATGGTTCAGGAGGTATTGCTGCTTGAATATTGGTCAACTTCCTCTTTTGCACGCCATGAATTATTCTCGTCATTGGATCCATATTCGACTATAGGAATGTTCCACAGTTGGTAACAGTTTTCGTTCCGGATGACGTCATAGAATCGCTTATTCTCAAGTTGGTAGCTATAAAATTAGGTTCAAAAGATATGCAAATTGCTTTGTCTGACGCATTTTAGCATCAGTGCTTTGAAGCAACAAAAATCGAATCGAGACTCTCCCGTGAAATTACGCATTCATGGCCAAAAATCCCCCATGTTTATTCCTCTGTATTCCGTTTGCTGTTGCACACGATCGTATTCGGCTTGTTTTGACAAACAACACACATAAATCAAGTACTTTTCATGATTCATGATAGATTGGTCCTCATCTGTAATTTGAATATCTTCGTGGGAAATCAAATGGCCCTCCTTGACAGAGGACCTCAGATGAATAATACCAAAACCGTCTGACATTCGTACGTACTGAAGCTGACATTAATGCTTTTTGTTCTTGAACCACGAAGGTCTGTCATGCAACAGAGAGTTCGACGACACGGTTTCAATTGCTGGTTTTGTATCTCTTTCACAGGTGGAGGACGAATGCGGTGACATACCAATGGTCCTCGTCCAAAACAAGATAGATTTGATCGAACGGGCAGCTGTGCTCAAGTAAGTACAATATACAGTATCAAAAACGAAAAAATATCGTCATAGACTAGATTAATTTGCGTTTAAGCACTTCGCGCATTTTGTGGATAGAATGCTCTGAGAAAAAGCCAGTGAAGGTTTTTCCTCCTTTAGAACTTTAATTTTGATGAAAGGGAAGTTTACGCACACGGCACAACCTTCATCATGAAAAACCATTCCAGTACTCTCTTTTTTATTCCCTCTTTATCTTCGCATATTTCATACCTGTGTTTGGATTTTGATATTTTCAACTATTTTTTTACTTTTCTTTTATACATATTTAGTGTTTCTTGTTGTTTGAGTAATTTATTTTTCTTTGAATTACCAAATGAATGATTTTGAAAAGAAATAGGAACATATATTGAGGGTGTCCTCTGGAATATATGTGCTTGGCCACAAACTGATGGTTGATCACCTTTTTTTTTTTACACTGCAACTTTCATCACCATTTATTATCGAGTTCTGTTCATGCCAAACACTAGTCACCTCCAAGCAAAAATTAATGTTTTTGGCCTTGTCACAACTGGTAGTGTATTTCTAACGCACTTCTTGCTTCATGGGTACGCACAGCGTATTTATACAGAGTGATATACTGTACTTGAAGTGACTGATAAATTACCAGATTATCTGTTTGAATTCCTTAAATTTCCCTTGCAAGACGATACTTGCCTTCCGTGGCAAGATTTATCACACTACCGCAAGTGACATGAGACTAACTGTGAAGATTCAAAACGTTTGACAAACCCAGCGCACTGAGACCAAATTCAACAGCTGGTATTTTTGAAAGCCTTTGTGGAAAAGGCGCAGAAAACCGTTAAAATCCGACGGACAAAATTTAAAAGGTGTCAAGTGGTAGCATAAGGAGAAAATGCATGATTGAGTGTTCCTCATCCGAACCAACACAAGCCAAACCTGTTGTTGAATTAGCCCAAATTAGTGTGAACGGACCACTGCCTTCATCTGCTGAATCAGACCCAAATCCGTCAGAACACCAGTCATTACCATGAGTAAGTGAATTAATCACTTGAGAAAATTGAAAGCATCTGTCGATCTCCTGCTCTTCATGCAGGAATTCAGAGAGAAATTTGCGTGAATACTGAGGAATAGTGCAGAGTGTTATTAATATGCCGCCAGAAATAATATATCTGTCCATTCACCCCTTGAACCGACCACGAAGCTGACGACTGCTGATATTTTAATAAAAAACTGCTGAGCCCACTAATTAGTAGATGGCTGGTGAATAACCGTGGTGATGCGGCAGTTTTCAACAGCGAGATAACTGAACTGGAACAATGCATAATTCATGAGATTCTAGAGTTAAATGAGCTAGGGAAGGAAAAACAGTTCAATGATTTTTTTTTGTTCAGTTCCCGGCTTTTGTGGGTGTACATTTTCAATGACTGCAAACAATTCAGCTTGCTTCTGAATTCCCGACGCCGTCGGATATTTTATTTTCTCTTTCGAAGCTCTGAGAACAAAAAAAAAACCTCCTTTAAAATTCCAATTCCATCGTTATGCATCCCTGATGCCTCGAGCAGCAGTCACGACGCTGTTTTCATTTTCCACGAAATTTCCCGAGACGTTGCCAGCTTTCAAATGAGATTTCAGTGCTGGTACTCAAGTGCTTGCTCAAATTACGCTATCATGTATACGAGGGGTTATCTCTAAGTTTCGAAATTACATTTGAACTTTGAAAACTCGAACCTTACTTGCAGAGTCGAATGCATCAAACTTCGAATTATTTTACAGTCCCTGTACCTGAATTCCCTGAAAATGAATGCCTTGAAAATCTCTCCATATCGAAGGCCCCCTTTAAACCCCAAAAAAGTGAATTTTCTGGAGGCCTTCTGTCTATTACTTTTTTGGCACAGGAAATGGAAGACCAATAAGATTCTACTAAATGAATTTTGAAACGAAGTGGAAGATTAATTGTGCCCATGAACCCTCGCCCTCAAGTTTAGCATTCAGTCAAATCAATTATGAAGCAATTCAAGTCCGAGAATATCAGCAATTGCGAATTCCTGTAATTATTATTCATTTCTCCCAACAAAAATTTTATTTTGCCAACTCGAAACCTCCCTTACTCGATTATTTTCCAGGTCTTTTGAAGTTCGACTTCAAAAGGTTCGACTGTAAAAGTCGAATCCAATGCTGGAAATGAAAGTTAATTTTTCAGCATGATATGATATCTGCCAATTGAATGCATTATTTTCTTGAAATTTGTTTGACCCACTGATCCAATGGGAACATTCAGCTTTTAATGAAGAACAACGTTCGTTCTTGAATCCTTTTTTATCTGACTGTCTATGAGGTTTTACAGCCTTAGGAGGAACACATTACATTTATCATGTGTTTTTCAGCTTTGGGAAATTTGTTGAAGCCTATGAGTGATTGAAAAATTATCTTGTATTGGGCATATGAAAAAGTTTCGAACATCTCTAAGTGTAAACGTGGCATAGCATCCATGTTCCAAAGCACACATGCATCACGATCCTTATCTCTATATTCACCCCCGCAGGGCAGTGGGCAAACTTTTTAAAAATGCATTGTCGAGTTACGGGAGGGCAAATGGAATTGTAAAATTTTCAGCCCTTTATCTCCAGTGAAGGCGTTCTTATAGATACTGACACACAGAGTGTGTCTAATGAAGCGTCTAATGAAAAAAAAAAACGAAGGATAGACTAAATATGTTTCTCGTTTCGTCTCTCTTTTCTTTTCTTTTTTTTTGTGAAAAATAGCGAAGAAACAGAGGCTCTGGCCAGAGAACTGAAGCTGCGCCTTTACAGAACCTCCGTGAAAGAAAACGTGAACGTGGACCAGGTCTTTCGCTACGTGACGGACTTGTTCCTCTCCGAGTTACAGGAGATGGAAGAGGAGAACGCGTCTCATCCGGCTCCGTGTCACATCGTCCGAGGTGCGTGTCATCCGCACATACATCCGAGTGTATAGTAATGCAGCAACGTGGAGATTCCGTAAAGTTTCCGCAGTTGAACACACATTCTTCAAAAAGAGAAGTGAAGAGAAAGACCATCGAAAGCTTATTTTCATGCTGTAGTTACAGTTTCCGACTGGTACTCAGAAAACTACGCAAATTTACTTTTCACAAATTTGTCTATCGCTTGAAAATGTTCAGCTTTTTATATGTGAATGAAAATTAAACATAAAATCCATCATGAAATTACTCATACTTCATAATCGAAAATATACAAATTTGGGCATCCTTTTTTGTAAAGTTTTTTTTTTCATAATGTGTGCACAGTATAGCTAGACTTCTTCATACTCATTCCTCCTTGAGCTCCTTGTCATGCCGAAATACCAGATCCAGTCTAGTTTTCTTCTATGCAGTTATTTTCTGCATCTCGAAGTTTGAAAACAATTTCCAAAATTCTATCTCAGCTAGGGGTCTTGAGGCTCGAATATTGAAAGAATAGAAGACCCAATTGGATTTGTCCCCAGTGAAGTCTATGGAAATACGTGATCCGACATTTGAATGCTTCGAAATACGGAGAAGCACCAATTATGTCCGTGTCTCGGGACCCCACTGCAAAATTCCATTCAAGTAAATGGCTTAAAAGAAGAAGAAAGAATCCGAGTCCAAAGAGGGCTTTTCATCTAATCGCACGATAATCGAAATTTTTAGTTTCGATCCACGATTATTTCAACAGAAATCATGGATGTGATGTTAATCCCTGAAACTATGCCTAACTTCATCTCTTGCATTCCAGTGTGTAGCCATCGTTCTGAAAAGTGCTTCCCAATCGGCACGCATCCCGAAAAAAAGTATTTTCAAAATCTGAAGCTCGTATTTTGCGCAATACCCGGTTCAGAACCTGGCACCACAACGCAGAATATTGTACTGTACATAATTTTTCTCAAGGAGGGATTCTATTTATCTTCTCGTTCTGAAATAGAGCCATATATACAGTGTACCAAATAGATAATCATTTCAAGTCTCTACCTTTTTCTCTCGAAAATGACAGCCAAAGCAGTGGAAACTTTAGTGAAATCCTTTATGCGTCTCGCTCCATCGTTCACCGAGTTGCGCCTTCTTGCGTTCATTTCTTTCGGGCCTTGGTGTTTCGTAAACTTCGCATAACACGGGGTCCACGTCAATTCAATGTCAAAAGAGCCCTAGAGGATTCAGATAACCAGAACGCAATCGACAGTTCGATCGCGAGCATATTTTATGGAGATGGAATATTATCGAATGAAGGATCACAGATCAGAAGGGTTTTTGCGCAATGCAGTTAGCTGTATAGAACGTGGAATGAACCTGTCGTTTGACTGATTTACAATAATTTTTTTTTTGCCTCAGAATAACTTGATGAAGTCTCCTTTATGGAACTGTTGAACACTTCGGTTTTATTGGAGAGAGTCACGCGGGCACTTCTTTCAGTTGAAGTATTTTCAAAGTGATTATTTTGAAAAGCAATTTGAAGCTAAATTATCGTCCAAAATAATGCGATGTAAAAAATTTCAAGTAAAGTGCTCATACAGTATCTTGAAATTGAAAAAATCTTTGTGATTTCAGTCACATCCACTAAAATATTGAATGACTCATTGAGATAACGCAGCACATTATTTAATCGCTCACTGAGGCCTGAAGAAGTAGGTTATTTCTCCTTTTTTTATTCAAGGAAGAATTCTGAAATTCATGACGTCGTAAATTAGTTCAGCTTCTCTTATTCGATCGGTATTTCCTGGTTGAATTGCAGGAAATTTCTTGAAGGGCCATTGATAGGAAAGTTTTCCTGGGAATTAAAAAGTAGAATGTTCACTTCATTCACACGTGCACCGTTGCTTTTTGGGAAACTTGGATTTTATTGAGCACAGCGGGTAAATTACTCGTCATAAATTTGGCTCATTTTCTGGTGTTACTGAATGCTTTCCATTGGTGTCCGCAAAGATATTTCAAAATGGGACTACAACCGTTATCAATAGTGGCGAATTTATTACTGTCATGGAGCATAGTATCACCCATCTCTGTCCCGAAGAACGCGGAAGTCTGTGATTCCAGCTCATCTCAAACATCAGCAGTCGAATAAGAACTTTAGTGAAATTCCCTTTTGAAAGAAGCCACAACTTTTTCTACTCGTATAGACTAATAGAGGACTGTCCTGTGTCAAGAAATACTTTTTTTGTGTACACAATTGAGGAAAAATTCAGGTGTCGTTGATCGCTTGTTCTCCTGCCAGAATTACTGTACTTTCGATTTAAAATAAATTTAAAACATTATATTTGATTTGTTTGTAATTGAATCTGAGACGGCGAGTCTTAGGAGTTATTTTCTCTAACCTTAATTGGTGTTTGAAGCCAGCGCAAAAAGCATCGCACATTAAATATGACTTATTTTCATGCCTCATAGTCGTTGTTGACATGATATAATGCACATTACAACCATTTCGAACAACTGCTGAAGTTGAAACCGTTACTTCAAAATTTGATACCAATTTGAAATTTAATATGAAATTGTAGACATCGAATTATAGGTAATACACTGGCATGAATATCATACTTCATCGAGTAATCGTAATTGATTCTTTCTTTTTCATATGATTTAATGCTCCGTTTTTTAAACCAAACCCAGGAAGATTTTTTCGAATTCACTCAGATTTGGATTTTTTAAATCGTTTCGTTGTTTATTTTGATTGCAATAAAACGAGAGGGACAGCAGTGTATCATTAACTGTCAGGTGTACAGCGATAAAAATCATTGACCACGGATAGTGTTCACTTTTGTAATCATATCCCAGCTACGTCGCAATTTTTTACGTCCATGATTAATCTTCTCATTCCTTATGCTTCTGAGGAAGGTCATTTTGATATTCATAACTGACAAAAGACGTGCCTCGATCTTTGCTATCCAGGACGCCTGAAAAGAATATCGTCAGTTTATTCAAGTCATAAGCTTTGAATTGATATAAAATAAAATCAATTCTCTTGTTCAACTTCGGCGTCCGCTTCTGACGAATTTATGAGCACTGCCTCCTTTTTAAAAACCATCAGACCAATTTTTACTTCAACATTCTCAGAGGAATAAGACCTGCACCTTCTTTCACAAAAGATTTAAATTGATGGACGCTATAGGGAGAAAGTCACTTGAAAAACATTAGGTTTTTGCTGATGAGCTATCGAACTATTTTAATCATTTTCGAAATAAATCAAAATTCGAAATAATTCAAAATTATATTGTTATGTAGGCATCTAGTTTAAATAAATAAAACTCATTTTAGTACTTCCGATGGTCCCGATGCATTATTCATTTTAAATTTTGTTTGATTTGAAGAACTACCTCTCATCATGCCGATTATGGTATACTGACCTCATTTTCGTAGCAAATTACAAACTTATTGCAGCACAGTTCGCCGATGTTTCATTTTTCGATGCTAGTTCGATAAATTGTAACATCAGAGGAAATCGTCGCGTTTGATTGAAGAGCTTTTAACCTCGAGTTGTTCGTAAAACACGAATATATTTTGATTTCCCTGTCAGCGAGATATCGTCATAATTCCTTCAAACGAATCTTTAGCAATTGACTTTGTTATCATTGAAAAATAAATCTTTTTGCTAGGTGAGGTAGTAGGAATCCGTTTTACCGCATTATGTAATACAGTATTTACAGATATTAAAATTTCCGTTCTGCATTGGAGGTTGGAGGATTTTTTATAATTTTTTCTTTAGAAATAGGTAGCTTTTTGAAATCAATCTTAAAATGTATTAAGAAGCCAGCCAAAGGAAGTAAATGAAAAAGTGACATTGAAGTGAACACTTACCGCCAATTGGTTGTTTTTTAAATCATTTTACAGGTAGAAAGATAAAATTACTCTACTTTTGTCTTCAGCTTTTAATGATTCACGCCTTTCAACCTAATTTTAGGCATGGTAAAACGCTTTGAACACCATGATTGACAAATCTCATC